AAACTGAGTTTCTAGTTTCGTTAATTAAGGTCTAGAGTTTACTGAGACTCACTTCTGAGATAGTTCCTTGTTCTTATGTTATATTGCTAAAAGATTTAATAAAGTTATTAAAAAGGACACTCTAAGTTTGTTTCTAAAGCTTATCTCAATAACCAATCTTCAGATAAAGATCAGATGCTCCATGATGTACAACCAGGAGATTAACACTGGGCTATAGTCATTTAACAAACGAAGTCAGATGACCTGCGGTATACTGGGCTCTACCTAATGAAAGTTCTTGACTTATAATTCTTACTTATGACCTTACTAATAACTGCCAGCTACAACTATATTATTTTCTATGTCATTTGTTTCAGAATATTGTTTCTTAGGTTACAAAATGTGTGACTGAGCCTGTGATAAAATGCTGATATGCAGTTCCATATGAGATCAATGATTATAATAATGTAACTCTAGATATGGGAAGAAGCAACAAGAGGGAATATTTTCCTGGACCAAGAGACTAGTAAGACAGGTATGGTCCAGAGATTTTTGCTACTCGCAAGGCCTGGTCCAATAACAGCATACTGAGTGGCCTGTCAATGGAATCTTCCCTAGACCTGGAAATGAGCCTTCCCAGGACCGCAGGACATAGTGGCCATGAAATGCCCCAAGTTCAGTTCAGTTCAGTTCAGTGGCTCAGTCGTGTCTGACTTTGCGACCCCATGAATCGCAGCACGCCAGGCCTCCCTGTCCATCACCAACTCCTGGAGTTTACTCAAAGTCCTGTCATCGAGTCGGTGAAGCCATCCAGCTATCTCATCCTCTGTCGTCCCAATATGTGGTTATGAAGGGACCCTGCTGACTGGAAGTTGGCACTTGCCAGCTGCCTCTACAAACATTACATTATAACCACTGCAAGCTGCTGACCTTCAACACCCTCTGAAAGGAGTTCACTGTGGAGATCAGAAATAAGGCACTCTGTGCTCTGGGAAAAACCCAGAAGAACCGGCCTTCAGATAGTCAGATGTTTTCAGGTAAAGATTTTATAAGCCCAAATTCTTGCATCTTCTCATACCTAGAGAAACACTAATGACATGAACCAATGTCTAGCCTTGGTTCTCCTGGCTAGCTCCTCAGAAGCTTTTTTAGTTCTATTCATCTTTGGGCCACGTACTTTTAACTTTCTTGTTAAGTTTGTTTCTTCTAGAATACAACAAATCTCTAAGTGATAGTACAACAAGAATATTCCCTGGCCAATACCCAATGTTGAAACAAGCCGCCTTATCATTCCACGGATTCCCATCTCCCTCTGTAAATTGTAAATGCACCCTGACAGAGAGCAGGCAAAGGGAACCCGGAGCCTCACGACGCCCCCGTACAGCCTGAAGAAGCCAGAGTGGTCAGCGCCCCTTTTCCTTTGAGAAGGGGTTCCCGAATGTCTGAGAAGGGAAATGGGTAGATAGTTAGATGTGAGCAGGGTATCAAAAGGGGCCAAAAGCTGGCCCTAAAAATAAAGAGAAGGAGGAATGTGGTGACCCAAGGGCAAAAGAGCAGATAAAACCAAGGAGCATCTTGGAATGCAGTAACAGAAAAACCATACCCTTATCATCCTTCCTTCCCCCATGTTGTAACTATTAACAGATTTCAGGTCCTCCTGAGCAGTATAACCTGTCTCCCCTCCTACCCCAGAGGGAGAAGAAATTACCTTACTCTCTCCCCCATTCCCCCACCAGTATATGTGCCTCATCCAAGCAGCAAATGACCTGCAAGACCCCTATCCCACTCCTTGTACCCTGGGTATAAAAGTGGACTAAGGACCCCAGTTCAACATCCGTTCTCCCTTGAGCTGGCCCGCTGTTCTAACAGTGTCTCCCACTCTAACAAACTTTATTTCTCTTTCATTTTGTCTCATGTCTGGAAATTCTTTTCCAACTTGCGCCCAGACCATGACATATAATGTATATCACATGGCAATAAATCCAATAGAGAAAATTGGAGGGGGGGGTGGGAGTTGATTGTAATTTTAAACAGACTTGAAAGAGAGAGCTCTAGTGACTTTTGAGTAAGTGCTGAAGGAACTGAAGTAGTTAGCCATGAAGGATCTGCGTGAAGGGTGTTCCTGGCAGAGGGCGCAGCAAGTGTCGAGGTAGAAGCTTACCTGGTATTTGGGGGAATCAAAGAGGGCAGTGTGGATGGAGCGGAATTTGTGATGTGGAAAGTAAGAGGAGACAAAATCAGAGATAAAGGAATGCTTATTTGTGTTGGGTTTACTCTGACTAAGACAGGAAGGCCCAGGAGGATTTTTGAGCAGCACAGTGACAAAATGCAATGTACATTTTAAAGGAACGACACTAGTGCCATATTGACAGTGAAGCAGATGCAGGGCAGGCAAAAGCAGAGGAACCAGGTCGCATGCTATTGCAGTATTCCGGGCTGCCTGTATCTGTGGCTGGATCATGGTGGTAACTGGGGAGGTGGTGGACTGAGATCTGCTTCTGGATATATCTTGAAGATAAAATCAGTGAGATTTTCTGATAGTGTAGAGGTGGAATAGAAAAGGAGAAAAGTCAAAGATGATTCCACAGGGGCCTTAAGCAACTGACAGGTTGGAGTGGCCCTTCCCAGAGATGGGGAAGACAGCAGTGTGAGCAAGTCTGATGGAGAGGATCCAATTAGTGTGGGTAAACTTTGGGTATCTGAATCCTTCCCACTCCCCCATTCTTTGCATTTAGAATACTTTTCCAAACAACCTAAGACACATATGCATAAGAAATAATAAACAGTCAGTGGGAAACAATATCTACTTCAATTCATGATGGGATTGGTTTTCTGTACAATACAGGGTTCTGATAAAACCTGGATTGGAGAAGAGATGTAACCCAAGATGCTCTAGAGTGAATGCTTGCGTTGCCCCCAAACACAATTCATATGTTTGAATTCCAATCCACAAGATGATGGTATTGAGAGGTGGGGCCTTTAGGAGGTGATTAGATCACAAGGGCAGGGACCCTTGTGAATAGAATTAGTGCCCTTATCAAAGAGGCCTGAGAGGACTTCCATGGTGGTTCAGTGGATAAGAATCTGCCTGCCAGCATAAGAGACATAGGTTCAATTCCTGTTCCGGAAAGATTCCACATGCCTCAGAGCATGCACCACAACTACTGAACCTGTGCTCTAGAGCCTGGGAGTTGCGACTGCTGAGCCCATGTGCCGTAACTACTGAAGTCTGGAGCCTTAGGCTTGCATTCTGCAACAAGAGATACCACCAAATAAGAAGTCTGCACACCATAACGAAAAGTAACCCCCCATTTGCCACAACTAAAGAAAATCCGCGTGCAGCAAAAATTAAATTATTTTTAAAAAAACAACACAAAGAGGCCTGAGGAAACTTCCTTGCCCCCTTCTGCCATGTGAGGACAAAGAAAAAAGATGTCAATTAGGAAATGGACCATCATCAAACACCAAATCGGCCAGTGTGCTCATCTTGGACATCCCAGCCTCTAGAACTGCAAGAAATCATTTCTGTTTATCAGCCACCCAGTCTACAGTATTTCCTTTCAGTAGCCTGAATAGACTAAGAAACTGGACCAAGGAGGGCTTGGATTTAAAATGCTGGCCCTTCAGAGCAAATCTGAAGGTTGAGCCATCCTCTTCCAGTCACCAGGTCACAGGCAGGGACGCTGGATCAGGAAGATGGGACGTGATTCGTCATACTGACCCCACTCACTGCTGAAAGTTAGCCAGGAAATAATGAAGGCTACCCCCGCCCCCACCAGCTTCACTCTTGCTCCCCATTGAAGGGGTCACCAAGGGACAGAAGTGGGATGAGGCAAGGCTGAAACCCAAGGAGAGAGGCAGAGGCAGTTCCATGAATGCTTGTTGATTAGAATCCAATGTTTTCTTTGCCCTACACAGACTCTGCCCATCTGTGCCCTGGAGCTTGAGCCCTTTGAGGGCAGACATTGGATATTGATGAAGGCAGAAGTTGGCTCTTTAGTTTCTGAGACAGAAAAACTTATTTTTCCTCTCTTCTTCACAGAACAGAAAAACTCTGTAATGAGAATTCTAGGGCAGGCAACAGGCTCTTCCCAATTTGGGAAAAGGAGTGAAATAGAAGGACTACTAAAGGTAAACTAGAGTAATTAACAGACACTTTCACCCTAATTGTTCTGCATGATGAAGAAGAATTGATTGCCATAAGGCCAAGGGACAAAAGGGGCTTTAAAGAAGTGAATGAAGTTTGAGACAGCTTAGAAATGAGATTGCATGAGTCAACAGTTACTCGAAACATTTCTTAGTTGGATGGGTTTTAGTATCTGACCATTTTTTCTTCTCGAATTTGAGTTTTATATTCACAGTCTTCAATATCTTTGCATTGCCAAATGACACAAAATTCAATGGAATCCTTTAATTCACGGTTGATATCATTAGACCATGAGTATTAAATATTTCTTATAATATCAGACTTGATATTGCAAAGGATGAGTGTGGGCTTAGAGGTTCTCACTTGGTAGTTGTGGAGACCACTTTTGGGGGAGGGATATTTCTCTGTGTAGTCTAGTTTCTACTTAATATATTTCCAAACTTCTTTAAAGTGTGTACTGAGAATTATAAAATGCAATACCTCATCATTTGATATACTTTGCAGTCAATGTGGATGAAGATGCTATTATATGAGGAATAAAAAGATATGGAAGATTCATTTTTTTTTCTGCCTCGGGAGACTTATATATAATGACTCCTACTATGAACAAAGAATACTTTCTATGTTTAGTTTATCCTTTAGCACCACCCTTGCAGGTAGACACTGCTCTTCCAAACTTACCGAGAATATTGAGGTTTAGAGGTCACAGACCAAGATCACACAAAGAGAAAGAGGCAGGCTGTAGGTTGGGATTCAAGGTCCATGCTTATTTCATTACTCTCAGCTTATTCTAGTGAATTTGCTAGAATCTCGAAGTATTTTCCAAGGATTACTGCTATTCTCTGTCCGGCAGTCCATAGCATTTTTCAAAAAGTCAAAAAATCCTTGAGAAGGTAAGCAATTTCCCTCTCTCTAGGTGCCTTGGATGTGACCATGCTGGATCCAGAACGCATCCTTTCTGATCTGATAGCCTCCTCCCCGCCCTGGCCCGAGAGTCAGTGTCTTTTCCATAAGGCTGGGAGCCCCGTTCAGACTGTCCATTCCCCACCTCTTTGCGGAGGAACGATGACCCTAAGGCGACCTGACGTCCCTTCCCAGGGGAGCTGCCATTCCGAAGGCGGCCGCCAGGGGGTCCCCGCTCCGCTAGCGCCCTCGCAAGAGAGCCGCGCTCCGGGTGCCGGTGGGGGGCTGCTTTGGAGCGGCGGCGGCGGCGGCGGCTGGAGCCCGGTGCTCGCTCGCCCGCGCGCTTGCTGAGACCGCGCGCGCTGGCCCCGGAGCCCCTCGCTGGATCCGCGAGCGTCGCCCCTCCTGCCCCAAGCTCACCCTCTTCCTCTCGCGCCGCCTGCAGCTGCCCCGGCGCGGGGAGCCGACAGGGCCCCGGGGCTGAAGGTAAAACCCCACGGTGAGTGAGAGCTCGCTCCAAGCGAGGGGAGGTGGCGCAGCTCGCAGCCGCTCGCGCCTGGTCGCGCCCGGGCGGTTTAGAGGTGCGGGGCGCACCTGGGGCGAGTGCAACAGGAGGGCGGGAGGCGGCGGACCCCGTTTCCCCGGCCGCCCTCCCCTGCTTCCGGGGCTGGAATCCGCCTCAGACCCTTGCCCGCGTCTTGGCTTCTGGCAGCCTCCTCCCGTTCCCTTCCCGGGTTGGAACGAGAGTCCTCCTCGGGCTCCGGGGCCTTGATTTTTCAAGATCTATCAATGAACTCGTTCTTCTCTTGGGGAGGAGGGGGCGGGCACGACTCTGTCCCCGAATCCATCCCGGATCGCAGATGATTGCAGAGTGCATGCTGGACTGTGGGTGGCGGGAAGACAAACTTTTACCAAAGTGCGCCTGGGCAGGGGGACCACGTTTAGGGCGTCTTGGAATTGAAGGCGGAGGCTCGGCTGGGGGCTGCGAAGGGGAAACTCCAGTGCGTCGGCCGGGTCGCCCCCGGGAGACGGTGTGTAAAGGGCGTACAAATCCGTCGGAACCCCTGGGCCAACAACTGTCAAACATCTGGAATCCCAGCCCCTCCCTTGCCCTGCACTCAGGAAGAAGGTGAAAACCCTTCAACTTTCCTCTGATTGCTCCTCCCTGCCTTTGGACCCCTCTGGGAGGGTACAGGGCCGACGCCCGGCGCCTGGCAAGTAAGTAGCAGACCGACACCCCAGACTTCTCAAGATCCCCCCTCACCCACCTCCCCGACCCCTCCCAGACGTCCGCCCCGCAGGGCCCACGCGACAGAGCCGATGGAGAGCGAGGCGAATGGCCTTTTGTTTCTCGGCGTTTCCCCTATTGTTCGCCTTTCTAACATCTGGCGGGGCTCGGGAGACAAGGAAGCCCCTCTTGTCCTCCTCCCCCGCCCCGCTACGCCAGCCTCCCCGCCGGCTTGCGCCCGGGAGCCTGCCTGGGGCAGGCGAGGAGCCCGACCCCCGCGGGGCCGCCCCACCCGGGCCTTGCGGCGAGAGGGCGGAGGGAAAGTTGTTCCTTCCCCGCCTCCTCGGCTGCCTGTGGCCCCGGGCGCATTTCTCAGATCTTATCCCTAGCGCGCTGCGGAGCGCAGATCCAGAAGGTGCCGCTCGCGGGAGAGTGGAAGCGAGGAGCTGCCCGAATCCCGGGTGCCTTTTTCCTGTGAGTTCCAGTGGATTCCAATCTCCGCCTAAAGGCGTGTGGTTGGCCGGTTGCCAGGCGGTGGGACGGGATCAGGGCAGGTCTGGTAGGGAAACGGCTACGGCTGTGAGTGTCCAAGGGCCGAAGGGCGGGCGAGCCGCCCTCCTGAAGGAGGGTGTGTGTGCAGTGCTGGGCTCAGCCGTGGCCGACTCTTCTGCGACCCCGTGGACTGTAGCCCGCCAGGCTCCTCTGTCCATGGGATTTCCCAGGCAAGGACACTGGAGTGAGTTGTCATTTCCTTCTCCAGAGGATCTGCCCGGCCCGTGTCGGGAAGGGTCCCCTTCTGGAACCCGGGTCTTCTGAGTCTCCTGCCTTGCAGGCGGATTCTGTACCGCCGAGCCCACTAGTGGAGATGTAGAAATAACCTAGGAAGCCTGGAGACTTCGCTTATGAATAGGAGTGAAGTGGCTCCCTCCAGAATGAACCTGGGGTCCTGACTTCGCACAGCGCTCCAAGTTAAAAGCCCGGGTACCCTCTCAACGTTTGGTAAGAGCAGACCTGGAGGACCCAGTACTGACTGTGCAGACGTTTCCCCGTCCCTGCGAAGCTGTGTCTGGGGACCGAATTCCCCTGTGAGCGCGCCGGTGAGATTATAACGACCCTATTGTTACTCTGCCCTTCCTATCAAGTTGTGTGCTTACAAACATGGTGCTTACTCCTAATGACCGAGGATTGTTAAAGAACTAGGGCTTACACCTGAAACTAATATAATATTGTAAATCAACTATGCCTCGGAGGTGGGGGGCGGGATAGAATTTGGGCAAAAACATAGTAGCCACTCTCAGAGGGCAGGGTCCCCAGACGGTGCCCCCAGAGTTGCTTAGCTGGTGAGGGGAGACCGTATCTATACACCTGTTGGAATGTATACCTGCACATAGCCTTACATATACGAATGTTAACTTTTTCTGTCCGACATACAGTCAGTGCCTCTTCCAAGAAGGCTCAGGGAGGCTCTTGTTTTTTTTATCCTTGCCTTTTTGATCTGTGCCCCAAGCCAGGGGAGGGAGGAAGCTTCTGTATGAACACCTGTGATCTTGTACCCACTGGAAGCTTTTAAGTAGAGACTGTGCCTCTTCAGAGTTTCAGGAGTTTGCTCTTCCAGAGTTGGAACTTTTGAGCTTCCATTTAATAAAGAAAAACAAAGGAGACGAAGTCAGCAGAGAGGACACACAGAACGCATTCTCCAGTAATTTCTGGATGTTACCACTGGGACCCACAGAAGAAAGAAAGCAAAATCTTAGAAGCACCAGAAGGCACTTTACAAATACTTCATTATGAAAATAATCCCCAAGGAAGGATTCCTTTGAAATTTAGCAGCAGCAGCACTAGAAAAGCAGGAAGCGCCTGGCTTGCTCAAGAAGGGTCTAAAAGCATCATTAACAAAGTGAAAGAGCAATGTCTGTCCCAGTCTACTCCAGTAAGGAAAACAGGGTAATTATAGTGAAAGATAAGCTTGTATGACTTCTTTAATTTTAGAATTAGAAGAAAACCCTCCCCAGCATTGAAGAAAAAATAAAAAATACAGAGAGGTGAAAATTAAAACAGAAGGAGGACGGATGTTATAAATAAGGCTCCATGGAACAATCTTATCCAATTGCTTACATGGAATAAATTTCTGGAGAAAGGATAACTAGGTCGAAGCAGTTAATGTACTTTTTTTTTTATGACATTTAAGATTGCTATATTGTCCAGTAGGAAACTTGTGCCAGTTACCATTTCTCTATCAATATATAGGATTTTTTTCTTCTGAACCCTGCACCCCACTGATATTCTACATTATCACTTTTTTTTTTTTAATCTCTACCAGACTGATGAGAGGGGAGTATCTTATTACCTTCTTTTACATTTCTCTAATCACAAATGAGAGTAAATATTTTTCATATTGTCTGTTAGTATTTCTTGTGATGTTACCAGTTTGTGTCCTTACCTATTTTCAGTGAGAATATTCTCCTTTTTCTGACTAGTGGTGCTTTTAATAAAAGCATCCCATTGTGACTTCTGCCCCTGCTGGTACAATCAGACAAGCTTTATTGATTAGAAGTGCTGATTTTCTTTCCTTCCGCATTATTGCAAACATTTGGCAAGACTGCAACCATCAATTGCTAAAGTAACTGACATGGTCCCAGGAGAATCATAAGGAGATCATGCAAAGGCATTATTAGAGAAATTCATGGAAAATATCAAATGTATACTTTCTGCTTTGTAGCTTGCATGTCCCAATTTGTTTATAGTTTGTAATGCTTTTTAAAAAGTTACAACACTTACTGATGAGTTATTGTTATGAAATGGATGATATGAACTTGTTTTATTGTCTGATCCTTCTACTGATAACCAGTATACTGTGATCCACAACTAGTTCTTGTTCTTTTAAACATTTCTTCTAACTTTTGAACTGAGTTTTATTTTAATACTTTCTCAGTATAACTGTGTTGAAGTTTAACTATCCAGCTATTCAACTATGGATGAATCTTGAGTCTAAACCGTTTAGCATCATGCTATGAAAACAATAGCAAGTAAAGGCCTTCCAAGAGTTGAACTGGATACTCTCTGTGATGCATTTGGGTAGCCACAAACTGTCTGTTAATTCTTGCTTGAAGATAGATGATTCTGAAATGGGGTAGAAGGGAGAGAGAAAGGTAGAGAAAATTCATTTCAACTATAAGGTGAATTAATACAGATGAAGGACCATGCAAGAAAATTTAAGTAAATAATCTGGGTAATCTAGGCACAAAATAACTTTCAAAAAGATAAAGTATATTAAAGTGTCATGTATTAGTGAGAAGATTAGTTTATTTAACAAGAAGAAAGTGGCCTTCTAGTTGGGAAAAATCCAGTGTGAAATTCTTCCATAGTCTAACCATAGGTATTTCATTTCCGGTAGAAAGCAAACAAAAAAAGACAGATATTAAACTTTTCTGCAGTATTTTTCATGCTTTTAAGTGTCAAAATCACATAATATGTATTGGGAATGAACAATGCTCTTTGTATTAGAATCATAAGCTCTTAAAGGTTGAATGAGACTTTAATGGTCATCTCATTCAACCATCTAATATCATTACAGATCTTCACTCTCTTACAGTAATAAAATACCAACCCACAAACTTTCTATCATTTTAACCAAACCAGGCTGAGAAGCAAATGGGTCCCAAATTTCTATTTTCTTTTTTTTTAGAGTAGGGAGACAGGAACGGTTTTAAGTCTATGGGACCTTGTACAGGCTCTTTTAACATGCTGAACTTTCCTAGAATAAACAATCTTGGCAGCAAGAGAGTTAAGTCAGTGAGGTGTTAGATTTTGCAGGATTCTCTGGGCCGTGTCCTCTGGCCATGGGTTTGAGGGAGTTCAAAAGCAGCAGAGCAAAGCAAGAGCAAAAGGCAAGAAGAACAGAGAATAGAAGCTGGGAGGGCAAGCCCTCCCCTAAAACTGTCTTCAGGACTTCCTAACAAGACTCTTGATCACCCAGGGGGTGGTAGGCATCACCTTGTTTGGAGAGGTGAATGAGGCCGATGCTGCAAGGCCACACTTCAGGAAAAAAATGACCATTACCCAAACCACCAATAATCCAGCCCAGGGGAGCCACGGAACAGCACAACAAGCCTTAAAAAGAAGAGGAAGGAGGAAGAGAAGGAAAAGGCGATTTTGGAGAGAAACAGAATTTTAATTCTTAGAATACCTTCTCTCCTCCTGAGTAGTGCTGTGAGTTTCTGAAAGAAGTAGAAGCACCTTCTGATTTCCATCTGGACAATCTCCCAGGCACAGGGGCTGCGTTTCCTATCTTTGAGGAGCCTGTCTGTCCTGTTGAAATGTCTCCTCAGTTCTAGGTCGCCCGGCTGGAGGGCCGGCGCTCCTGGGGGTCTCCTCTCCGGCTGAGAGAGGCGCTTCCCTCTCTCCTGTTTCTCCCTCTCTCTTCATTTCCGTCCTCCTCTTCTTCCAAGCACTGCTCCAGGTACCGCAGCTGGTGACCAAGTCCGACCTGGACTAGGCTCAGGTGTGTCTCTTCCCAAGTGGGTTTGAACGTGTCTTGAGCGAAGATGTGGAAGGCTTGTCTGGACATTTTGTAGAAGGCCTCCTTGATGTTCCTCTTCAGAGGCTGGCTGTGTGAGAGGATCTCTTGGGGCAACTCGAAAGCTTTGCTTTCTTGTAGACACTCTATAGGAAATGAATTGCTCATCCTCCTTAGAAGGCTCAGATTCTGCCAGGTGACTCTCCTCAGGCGAACATTCAGTAAGTTACAGTCCAGAGAGAGGATGCCAGTGATGAACAGACCCATGAGGCATGCCAGCCACACATTTTCAAATCCCATCAGGCTTGCTGCTCATTTTTTTCTCCCTCGCCCATGGAGGTGGAAAATCCACAAGACTCAGAGGTTGACAGTGAGGTTTTAGGTCTGAAGTATCCCTTCATGTGCCTTTTATCACCTGGGTATCTTTGGTGGGGAGGAGTTTTTTCATTCATCATTTTATGGTACTCAGCATTTCAGCTTCTTTGTCTCTGAAGCTTTTTTGATTTGAGGTGACTACGCTGACTTTGGAAGTGCTTTGTTTTTTTTTTTTTGAGAAAAGGGAGCAGAGCATTATGATTGTGTTACCATCGATGACTGAATGATCCATCCCAGTACTATACAAGATACAGACTGTTTCAGAAAGCCCTGAAAGCTATGATTCTGTACACTTGCTCACCCAACACTGTTACATAAGAGAGAGCGATCCTCCAAGAAAATATTTTTTTGTACCTGGCCCTATAACCAAACCTCTTCTCTCATGGAGTTAATCATAGATGACTATGATTATTTGATTGCAAGGCCACTAGAACATAACATGGTTGAGGTTTTTTCCAGTCTTGTTAAACTTCTGTATTTGCATCTTTTCTCTTTTATTTGAGGTTTTTTTGTCTCAAGAAAGATGAAAACCAGAGTGCATCATTGAGCATGGCACTTGTCACATAGAAGACTATAGTAGCTTAGTTTTGTATTGCCACGAGAAAATGTTGGCACTCTCCAGCTGTCCTTTCCTATAGTGAAGCTTGAACCAGCACTTGCCATTCCCACCTAGCATTTTGTATGCCTCTGATCTCCTTCTTAGAAATCCTCTGGGGGCTTATATACTGGGGAATATTTTTCTGCCTCATTAACTTCTCTCTTGTAGTATCTAAACTTTTAGATGTGGTTTAGCACTATTTTAAAACTTTAGCTTAACTTTCTTTCTTGCTGAGAAGTTCTGTGTGCTGTAAAGATTTTTTGTTCTGATATGTTTTTGAGGAGGTATGTGAGTAGGTGATCACCCACTTTAGCCAAACTAATTCACACCTGGACCAATATTCCTGTGGTAATGAGGGCTATCCACCATTTATGATTTTCACTTTCTTTGACCAGGTAAGCTTCTTCTGGTATGGTCAAAGGAAATGGATTTTTTTCCTCCAGGAACCTGAAATGGGATGCCATTAAAGAAGGCTAGTTTGAATTACCACCTTAAAAAAAAAGAAATGCATTAATTTTTAATAAAGTCATTTTAGAATGGTGAGCAACCACAGTCCCTCAAGCATGGCAGACTTTGACTGGAAATTTGGCTTAAAATGTTCATGTCTAAATTAATTGGCTGCACCAAGGACTAATTGTAGACAAGTGAGATTTCTTAAAATCCTGGCTTTTTGGACTGATTTATTTTGAGAAGCAAACCTACTACATATGTTACTTTATATGCTCTCTTTGTATAAACTCTGATTTTGCAGAGGTATTTTGTGGGATGACTAACTTAGAAAAATAATCGGGAAAATGAAACCTTTTAAAAAGAATTATAAACTGACACAGACTTCTTGGAGAGCAAAATGGTGATATATATCAAAAGCCTTAAAAATGTACATGATCTTTGACTCAGCAGTTCTCCCTCTAGGCATTTATCTCCAAGAAATAATGATGGATGTCTCTAAGGACTTACCTGTTAGGAAGTTCATCACAGCAAAAAACTGAAAACAATTAAAATGTTTAGCAGTAGGTACTTGGTTAAGTAAATCATCAGTAGAAAATGTCTGTGCAAGCATTCAAAATTATGCTGTGGGAATATACTTGGTTACTTGGATGGACAAGCTTTGCAGCTTAAAAGCAAGTTTACATGGTAGTGTACAGAGTCTGTTAAATACAAACACATGCATATATGTACAGAAAAAAATCTAGAAGTATATATGCTACAAACATTAAGAAAAATAATTAAGAAGTATGAACTATGCATTTATAAACTGTGTGTATGTATGCATAACAATAAATATATGTTTATAAAATGCCAATGTCTTCTGAAGGCCAGACCTCCTTCCATCCCTCACACTACTTCTTATTCCTAAAGCTTCTTGAATTGTCTCAGTAGAACGGCTTGTTCCTCTTTGGGGCTTTTACAGTGTTTTGTCCTCCTTAATTTTGGCTTTTTAAAGTAAGTAAGTGTATAAGTGCTGAACTCCCAATTTTGTGTGCCCCCACCTCTACCTACTCAGGGCACTTAGCATTGTTCCTACTGCTTTGAGACAGTTTCATTGTACTAACCAAGCTAAGAGTTTGTGCAGTTCAGCCTCTATGCTGATAGGTTCTGCCAGTGGGTGATGGAGTTGGCTGGAAATTTGGCTGTTGTCCACCACCTTGAAGGTCCCTGTATTTTCTGTCAGGTACAGTTTTGTCACCTTACCACCCCCCCCCACCCTTACCTCAAATTTCCTCCCTTTATTGTCATTCCACATTTTATCTTCATTTATTCAAAACCATATTTTTAGCATCTACTACATGCTAGTCACTGGGCTAGTCCTTGAAGAAGGAGGGGTAAGATAGGTCCATGATCTCGAGGAGTCCATGGTTGAAGAAGCAAGCATGTTCTGAGTGTTTTGGGTACAGGAGTAATTCCTAGGTCTTTGTTATAGCATGTACCTCATTCCTATGTGCTGATGATGTTGACAATATTCATGATAAGAAAGAAAAGATGATTGACATGCATGTTGTCTACCTCTTCCACCATTAGAATTGCCTGAATTAACAAATAAAAGTACAGAAGACCCATGCAATATTTGAGATGTACCTGTACTAAAAATCCTTCATTATTTATCTAAAATTTAAATTTAACTGGGTGTCCTATATTTTACCTGGCAAGCCTATACACCATGCCAGCCCCACGGACCTCTTAGAGCAGAAGTGAAGTGAAGTGGCTCAGTCGTGTCCGACTCTTTGCAACCCCATGGACTGTAGCCTGCCAGGCTCCTCTGTCCTTGGTATTTTCCAGGCAAGAATCCTGGAGTTGGTTGCCATTCCTCCAGGGCATCTTCCTGACCCAGGGATCGAATGAGGGTCTCCCGCACTGCAGGCAATCTCTTTACCATCTGAGCCACCAAGAAGCCCAACTCAGTCACGAAGCCCTCTGCAGGGAACTTTCCCTCTGCTAGCTGTCCCCCTCATGCACAGGGGCATTCGATTGTGCTTCTCTGTGCTGGTTTAACTTGTGTGCACCTCCCTGACAACTGTGCCCACTCTGAAGAGGGTACCTGCCATGCCAACACAAAATAGTACACACACACATGCAGTCACACATAATTGTCATGGTCAGAGGCATTTTTGGATGATCAGTGTTGGTCATGTCTCTCTTCTGTAAAAGCCATGCCATCTGACTCCATCTCAAAATATAATGAGAAAGTCAAAAAGAATGACAGTGGAAGGAAATGTTTTTATTCCAGAATTTGTGTGTCCCAACTGCCCAGTCTGTCCCTGTGGGCTATCTGTGACATGCTAACTTTGTTCCATAGGGCTTCCTAGTTTGGAGCTAGTGGTAAAGAATCCACCTGCCAATGCAGGAGACATAAGAAATGCACGTTTGATTCCTGGGTGGGGAAGATTCCCTGGAGGAGGGCATGGCAATCCACTCCAGTATTCTTGTTTGGAGAGAGGAGCCTGGTGGACTGCAGTCCATAGGGTCTCAAAGAGTTGGACAGAACTAAAGTGACTTAGCACGCATCGTTCCATGATTATCTGCTCTCCTTTCTCTAGATCGGGGGGAAAGGTGATTATCAGCGCTGCCCTGTTGTCAGTGGAACTGTGTGAATTTGACATGGGGATGATATGGTTACTGGTAATGGGTGAGACACAATTTGTTTGACAAAGTGAAGATGAGGTATCCCAGTCTAGACGAGATAGCCATGACTCACTCATGTGCATTTGGCATTGTGCGGTAAGATTGACAGCGCTCCAGGAAAAGGCAAGTTTTGAACCAGAGCGAGCCTAACATGTTGATCATACATGTTACATTACTCAGTGCATGTAAGTTAGTCATTGCGTTTGTGGGGTCACTAGGTGATGGAGCCGAGTAGGGAGCTCGAAGATGGGAAGACTTGTTGTATCCATGCGTAGGACTGCTTTCCATGTGGCGTGCAGACCATGGCCACCACAAAGTCACGTGGAACTGTTTTAGCCGAGACCAGCCCTGATGCTGTGACAACTTGGTGTTTCACCCATTTCCACTGCCTCCTACATTGGGGTCCGCCTCTCCCCTGGTCCTTTCTTGATTGTTCTTCTCTTGATGGTGTACCTGATATAGAAACTTACAGTGACTACACAAGTAATAGGTGGATGTGTTCATATTATAAAAATTTGAACACTTCAGATAAAGTGAAAGCTGGCTTGCCAGCTCCGCCCCCCATTGTGTCTCTCTCCCCTGCAGTAACCACAGTTATCAGTGTGGTAGGTCCTTGCTTGATATCTGTCTCCCCACCAAACACTAAGTTCTGCAAACACACATCCAACAACTGGCTTGTCCGCTGCTCATTCTTGAATGCCCTCAGGGCCCACAGACAAGGAGAGAAACCTGGACCACTTCCTTGCTGATCTATAGCATGGGAGTAGGGAGACTTGCACTTATGTTTTGAAAATTACCAAAACAGGATTATAAAGATTGTGATATGCCTTGAAATTCAAGACTGGAACTTGTATCTCTGTGACTGTATCTATGATGTCATTTGGATATGATATGATTTTTTTAATCTGTGTTATTATAAATCCTTAGGGAATATGAAGCCCAGGGTAAAATGGCTCACCAGACCTGGATCAGACAGGTCCAGTGCCTTTCACAGCACCTTGCGCATACTAAGTACTCAGTAAATTTTTGTTGGATGACTGAGGGAAGATAATGAAGCCGTGTCTCTCAGTGACAGGGAAGTTACTTGGTGGTTTTAGTTCTGGTGTAGAGACATGGGGCGGGCAAAGTCAGGTGCTGGGGAGATTTGAGAAGTTCACAGAATGGTAGATGGCAGCCGAAGCATTCACTCAGTATCCCTTCCTCCTTC